CCCCCTGGGGGGTGATTTCTCGCTTTCTGTCTCTATGTCTCTCTCTGTCTGTCTGGCGAGCGCACGCGCCCTACAGCAAAAATCTCTCAAAAAAAAAAAAAGAAAAAAAAAAGCATCAGTCCCTCATTTGTGTTCAGGAAGTATTTTATCTCTTTAGAGTAATCTCTTATGGTTTACGTATGATTAAAATTCAGAGTAAGACTTAGGAAGCACCATTTCAGGAGAAAAAGGAAAGTTAATTGAAAGAAAGAGCACCCACAGGTCTGAGGCAGAGTGTTTCAGCCCACCCTGCTGAGGAGAGGACAAGACTGTGATGAATTTACATGGGAGGAGTGAAAGGGTAGGGTCACAAGAATAGCGAGTGTTTTGATAGCTTTGTGACCTTATCAGCCCATCTATGGGTATCAGCTGTCAGTAAGGGAGGGCTCTGGCCTGAGGATACTGGACTAAGGTCACTACAACCATCTCCTTATTTTCTGACAGGAAATTACATTAAAGGTCATTTAGAGACCGATCTAATAGTTTGCAAGGGACTTTTGTCTTGGGTTAAAGTGTGATGATAGAGGTAAAATATTGATACAGAAATTCTTATTTCCTTTATGATAAAAACATGCTTCCTTGGGACCAGCAGTTAGCGTAATGGGTATGTCACTGGAGTCCCACATAGTTGACCGCAGTTCGAGTCTGGGACCCGGAGGCTTAAACTCCCGCTGTGTGTGTGTGCATGCATGCCCAAGATTCCGAGAGGAGAATGGAGGAGAAGGAATTGTGGCATGACCATCCCCCCTGGGGGGTGATTTCTCGCTTTCTGTCTCTCTGTCTCTGTCTCTGGCGAGCGCACGCGCCCTATAGCGAAAACCTTTCCAAAAAAAAAATGCTTCCTCATTAAAGGAACCATATCCCACATGGCTGACCATGTAGTTCAAATCCTACTCCTTTGGTTGGAAAAATAGGCCAGGTACGTGTGTGTATGTTGAAAATCCCAACAGGATGGCAGAATGGAGGATTGTGGTGTGACCATGCCACACTGGGGAGAGTGCTTTCTCTCTTCTTCTCTCTGGTAAGCCCATCCACAGGCAAAGGAAAAAAAAAATTTTTTTTTATTTTGCCAGGGGGCTCATGTACTTACTGGAGAGAGACGCACAGAATGAGACAGAGAGAAAGTGAGAAAGCACCCCTCCTCCTCATGGGGAAGGGTCATATGCATTCCCTTCTCTGCCATATCTTCATTCTGTTGGGATTTTGAGCATACACGCACATGTGCCAGGTGTGTTTTTCTAGCCACAGGTCTGGGACTCCAGCTATGCAGCTGACTGTGTCGGGTCTAGCTGCCTCAACTTCCAGGCCACAGACTGGCCCTCCTCTGCCATTTTTTTTTTTTAAGTTGCTATAGGTCAGTGTACTCACTGGGGAGAGAGAGCAAGAGAGAGTAAAAGTGAGAAGTCACCCCAGCCCCCCTCCAGGCCACTCTATAATCCGTTCTCCTTTCAGGACTTTAGGCCTGCACATGCACACAGGCCCAGTGTGATTTTTGGGCCACCGGGTCTGAGACTTGAACCACACAGTTGGACACGTGGGATCCAGCTGCCTTAACCTCCATGCCATGGCCCTTGTTCTGGCAATTAAAAAAAAAGTATATTGGGTAACATCAGGTTGCTTCTCTTATAAGGTCTAAAGCAGAGGAGTTCCCTATCATGCCAGCTAAAACTGGCCTGTTTGGGGATTTGACTATCATTTCTCTCCTGACTTCTCAGAAGGTCAAATAAACAACTTAGTTTTGGTTTGGAGACCTGCAACTTCAGCATGAATGACTTCATTTCAGTTTGGTCTCTTGGGGCTTAGTGTAGGAACTCAGACTGAATCAATGACTTCCCATACATTTTACTTAATACTTTCTAGGAAGGGGTTGGTTATAAGTTACATTATGCAAAAAGATTCTGTCCTTGCAAGGTTTGCGATCATTTTTCTCTTTACACATTTTAGCTCTTTGCTAAAGTACTAGTTGTTTGTTTGTGGTTTTTTTTTTTTTTTTTTTTTTTGCTATGGAAGTAGAAATTCACCAGAGAGACAAAGAAAGAGAAACAGAAAGTGGGAAATCATCCATCAGGGGTGATGGCCACGCTAGTCTCTTCTCCTCCAATCTCCTCCTGTGATCTT